CACAGATGCTAGCTGCAACGACACAAACGGAGTGGCTTTACAGGAGCTCGAAAAATAAAATAGGTCAAAAGATGGGTTGATTCAGAGAGAAGTTTGAAGCAGTTAAACTGCACGAAGCCTTCATTACGCTTCTGCCGAAACCTCCGAAGATACACTGCAGCAATCAAATGCCAAAACTACTGAAAAGAGTTTTGATTCTTTCCTAAAGATTCTTGTCAGAGTGTTCGCAGGATTTCCAAACCAATATTGTAAGGAGTCCATGGTGATGATTGGTAGTGGCAGAGCTTCCCCGTTATCAAAACCAGTGCCTGTTTCTCAATATCGCCTTGAAAAGAACTGGAAAGGAAAGGATATCCGTGACGAGTGACACCAGCTTAAGGTGGAGAGATTCTGCATGAGATTTTGCCTCAGCCTGTCTCTTGTTTGACTCGATAGCTTGGTTACTGGTGATGAGAACTGCATCCCTTGCGTGATCTTACGCCGAAGCACCACTTGCCCTTACGCGCAGAACCGGTATTTCATAGCCAATTCCAGCCCTGCAACCTGAAAAGGAGTTTTCAAAGTGGGTGAAGCTGAAGAAATTTCGTTCCTGGGAGCATTTATTAACGAACTCCCCAATGCTACTGTTCGAGAATAATGTAGGCAAATGGATTAAGCTCGCCGCTCTATGCTTGGGAAACATGTCAAAGTTCACTTCGGCTCGGCAAATCTCACCCATGAATTGCGAGAAAGGTCCAGCGGAAGCCTTCAGCCTCTCTTGGGCACTTCCGACTGCTCTCGTGTTCATTATATCTGGCACTGACGGACTACCATTTGCCTCTGTCGCCGTCTAACCAATCAAAAGAGGGCGAGTTTGATGTTGAGTCTACTAGAAAAGGCCTCTCTAGATTCAAAATGAAGCTGGGTTATGATCAAACTTACACCAGCTTTTCATGGTATATTCACCATACGATCAGCATTCACACGTATAACGTGGTGAGTCGGCTAGCCGACATCGACAATGGCCGCGAGGATGGGAGCTTTAACTTCTATTGACTGCAGTTTTTGGTCATAAATTCCTTGCAAAAGCTTCACGAGGGTACTTTTGGCAAATCTTTGGAGGTCAGGCGGGACTTGAAATAGTACGTGTCGCTACTGGAACAATCAAAAACAACGAATTCTTGAAATTTTGCGCCTTATAGCTCAGGGTTTTCAAACAAAGACCATCCAGAAACTGCCTATGAAAGGCAAGATGTTGACGATATGGTGGTGCTGAACGTCTTGATTCTGACTTGCTTAAGAAGAACAGTGAATGGGAAAAACAAAAACTTGACAGATGGCCAAAGACTTTTCTGACAACTCAATAATTCTAATTACTGTATCCCTTCCGGGATCACATATACAGGGTGTCCCATAAATATTGCACCACTTTTCTTCACTTGTAACTTCCTTCAATCCAGGATGCCTCCTCAAGTGGTTACAAACAATTTCTTACAATACATTTACATATTGAAAGGAATGACATTCATTGGATATGCTCCCCTGTTGTTGTGAGTATGGCTCCCAATTGCTTCGAACGCAACTCTACTGTGGCCCGCATGGCATCCTGGGGTGTTCTCTTCGAAACTTTGCAGAGAAAAGGCTCCGGCTCATCCATGTGGATGCAATGTTTAGTGCAGGCTCTGCCTCCTAACACAGCCCACATAGGATGGTCCAGCACGCTGGAATCAAGGGATAGGAGAGCTACTAGTTTGAGGATGTGAAATCGAAAAGAGTAATGAATACTAATGAATACCGCTCCTGAACAATTTTTGCCTCCTATGCAGAAGCTGGGTCCTATTGAAAAGATCATCATTCCTCTCAAAGTGGCTAGATACCTCAGTAACAGATGGTGCACCGAAATGTCCCTTGGCTCGGTCTAGTATCAAGTTGTATTCCTTTTAAACAGGCAGTGATGGTGAGAGATCTGTAGTTAGAGACCCCCGTCTAGACCATGATAAGGCTTCTCAAAGCGTTCTTTCGTTTTTCATTAGCTTCCTTAGAAACATGGAAACATTCTCAAAATCTGGAGATCCTGGTTTTGCTCCACATTGAGAATTTTGCCATCGAAGAAAATGGTGCCACGCAATAGCCTTTTTCGGCCCTCGACACCAGCTCTTCAAACTTTTTGTCTCTGCTGTGCTTCTCTGGTTCGATTGAGCAGTGGCGCTTGTGCAGCTTATAATGGACTGTAAGCAGTTGTTAGACCACTCTCCACATGATTGTGTTCAAAAACTTCAGCGTTCTGGTCACCTTTCTCAAGCAAACTCGGGTGCTGCAGTCGAACCGCTTCCTTATGCGTTTCGTGGGAACCAAGATGCCATGCGAGGCGGCTGCTGCAGAGCCTATATTTATGGATCTTCTCTACAGTGCGCGACAGGCCGTGGAACGGTTAGGATTCCAAAGAAGTGCGGTGTTAGCGGGTGTCTAACCTAGCTCTACGAATGATTAGGCACCCGTTTGAAGTTGAGGTGCACCATGAAATGTAGGCCAAACGGTAAGTCGTGGAATTTTGCGTGGCTACAAAAGCAAACTCCGGGATAAAACGTGGGCGTTTTTTGTACAAATATGGTGCTATTTGCCAAGTGAATCAAACCTTAATAAAAAAAAGTAGGAGCTACCCCTGAAAAGGTCCAAAATAATGACCTCCTCTTCGTTAGTTACTTACAAGCCAGGGCTGGGAGGATTACGTGTTCACAGCAACTGTTGGCTCCATGCCAACAACCGACACGGCCGTTAAAATCAGCTATGGACCCTTTCTTCTAAATTTTCTGTTGTTTCTGCTTAGTTCTGCTTTTTTTTGTTGATTTTTTCCATTTTAAAAATTTTGTCCTTAGAATGAATTGCAAAGTTCCCGATAATGGCCGTAACATAGACTTTGATGTTGAAGTTGGCAGTCGAAATCCGCAAAATATCCTCCTACGACCTTCCAAACAACGGCTTGACATCTAGTGTTCCAAGTGTTGTTTGGAAGGTTGCGTGGAACAGTGGGCGGGCTCAATGGGTTGGGGCGGCACCAATGCTCCAACTAGGCGCCTAGCGCCTAAACCTTAAGTTTAAGTTCAAGTTTAAGTTTATTACGTCTGCATAAGGCACACGTTAAAAAAACAACACAACATCAATAAAACAATCGATATGAACATTCACAACTAAATTGGATTAGTAAATAGAACATAGAATAAGTCATCTCGAAATCAGTCTCACAAAATGCTAGTATTTTTAGTACCTTAACAGAGTGTTGGCGACGCGATGCTTGAATTGTGCTAACGACAAGTTAGCTGGCATATTCTTGACTAACTTCAAGTACCGACTACCCGCTCTGAAAGTAAAGTTCCTTGCGCAGAGGTTAGTTCGGGGTCGTGTAAGCGAAATCTTTTTGAGTCCTCCCCTCGTTCTTGAGGATGTCATTTTAAAGACATTGGGAATTCCAAAACCAGACAAGCCTCGCGTCATCTTATGGACTAAGCAGATGTCAAAAACTTCGCGCCTCGACTGTAGCGATGGCAACCCTAGATACCTGTTCCTTATTGCTGCATTTGGAATTTTAGAGTACAGAAACCCTCCAATTCGGATAAGTAATTTACGAGTAAAGTTATTCTGCACTTTCTCAAGTGCGTATATGTATTTCTTTTTGTAGGATTGAAAACCGTAGTGCCTGATTCTACGAGAGGTCTTACATAGGACTTGTAGGCACGTATAAGAGCTCGCTTACTAGTAACTGACAACGCCTTGAAAATTTGAAATGTACGTAACTGGGCCATTTTGGTCCTCTTCAGGATGTGTTCTGAAAAATCAAGCTTGTTGCTATAGTAGAAGCCAAGGTCTCTAACAGATTCAACTGCAGAAAGTGGGACCCCATCAACCGTGTATGAGTGCAAAATTGATGGAGTTTCAGATCTCAAATTCATGTAAACCGTTTTTTGTGGAGCTATAGGTAGTTGCCATTCTTTGGACCAATTCACTGTCAAGTCAATAGCTTCTTGCAGTTTCCGAGAGTCATTCAAGTTTGAGATTGATTTATAAATTTTCATGTCGTCTGCGTAAAACTTAGCTGTAACACCAATATCTGAGAGCATTTCCGGAAGCTCAGCTGTAAAAATATTAAAAAGAACTGGCGATAACACTCCACCCTGGGGCACGCCGCTGGTTATTTGCCTAACATCGGAAAGTGATTGATCTATTTTAACCTGGAAGGTTCTGCCATTTAAATAAGTGGAGATCCATTTTATGAGAACAGGATGGAATTTGAGAGCTTCCAGCTTATGAATAAGTTTCTTGTGTGAGACTCTATCGAACGCTTTCGCGAAATCAAAATAAATGACATCGCAACACCCTTTTTTATCAAGCGTTTCAGTCCAGTCATTGAGACTTTCAATTAGATTTGTTTCTACAGACCGCCCAGGAATAAAGCCATGCTTCCGAAATTACACGATTAAGTGTTAAATAGTGATTGACGTGGCCCTTCACGACTTTCTCAAATAGCCTACAGAACAGGGACGTAATGCTCACAGGCCGATAATTTTCTGGGTTGCACGAAGGCTCTTTTTTAAGTATAGGTGTAACAAAAGAATGTTTCCAGCGCGAAGGGACCGCGAAGGAACCTTGTCAAATCACCCCGTCACTTCTGCGCATGGTCCGTGTTTGCGTACTGCTGTATATTTGATGGGAGAAGCTAATTTTCGACCAATTATCCCGAACTTTGCCTCTGAAATGGGATAGAAGATTAAAAGGTTTCGCAATCTTGGAATAAAGCTAAAAACACTCACAGAACTTATGCGGAAAATGTGGTGCAATCTTTATGGGACACCTTGTAGTTCCAACAACCCCAGGTCAAACTGGTGCGATAACAGCATTGATAATGGAACCGTGGATCCCGATTTGACTAGAAACGAAAAAATGAGCAAAGGAAAGTGCAGATCAAGCCCTTAAACAAACATTTCCCACTTTTTCTCCTCTTACTGTGGCTCTTGCATTAGGCAGAGATGAAGATGACGTTTGCGTTCCAGTTGTTTCGCGATTTGATTAAACGAGGATGCTGCTCGCGTTCGGCTCGAAAACAACGAGCAGAGAAGATTCGCAAGGTAAGCAAATGATGGATAATCTTTTCCATAACAGTGATCGTTTTTACTGGGTACCTATTGATGGGTCGATAAAACTCGTTTGTTCCTCAAGGCTGAGGCCCGAGTGATTGCCACCCGTGCGTTGGCCGAAAAACCAAACTCATTTCTCCTTGGTCAAGTAATGGCGATCACCAGCTTGTCATCGGATTTGGTACGTTCCCTTCGCTCAATTTCGATTTCGATTCATATCATTTTCCTACTTTATTTTCTGCTATTTCGTCGAATATAACCTGGAACTTGGGGATAGGTGTAGTGGAAGTGAAGGAAATCAGCTCACTTTAAGGGCTTCATCACTACAAGGGGCACACTTCTCGATTAGTTGTCACTGTGCGGCGATAGATGCTTGTTATGAGCATAACAACACGAAAAACAACATCAATTTTAATAGAAAATTGGCGTCATTAAAAAAAAAAGAAACAGGTGATTTAACCGGTATTTTCTTCTCCAACTTGGTTGGCCCGTCAGCTCCATCAAGGTTGCTCTGAGGCGATGGTCAGCTTAGGGTTAAAAATGTTCACTGAACAGAAAAAATAAAAACAACACTTGGGATGAGACGAGAGCCACTGCGCGCATGATAGGTACGCGGCTAACGGCAAATAAGGTACTCATCCCCTACTCTAGTCGTTGTCGTTCGTAGTGCCCACATTGTCAGTCATGCTCCATGCATTACGACGAAATAGGATGGGGAATCAAACTTCGAATTTTTTTTCAAAATTTTTCAAAATTTCCAAAGCCCTTAGTATATTTTGTCCGTCGAGTTTTGTCTCATGACGACGAAAACGTATAAAGATGTACACATAACGGCGGTCCACAATGGTATCACGCGCTGTCGCAGTTTACGGGGACATTTCCTAAACGCTTGTCCACATTTGTTCACGCGTCTGAGTGGACATGTTCAAGCGTGTCAACTAGTGGTTCGGAGTACACACAGAAGAGCGTATGCTTCACCTTATACTGAGGCTAAGCCTTTTTAAGGAGGGAAAGTGTCGTGACCAGGGTGACGATGAATAAGTGGGCAGAAGCGGGCGGAGCGAACAACACAGTATAAGAGGGGTGATTCACTCGGAGGCGGTCCTTCCCTGTTCTTGTTGGATGTATTCGTCGTCA